GCACAGGCACAACTCCCCTTAAGTGCTTCGTAATCTCAAATCTGTCTTCCCATTTCATCGAGGAAGTATTTTTTAGCAGAAACCATTTTTGTCTCGCCTCATTCATTACTCTTATAAAAAAATAATATACTTTTCGGTCCGTGCAATCCATGTTTTCCCTTTACCGTTTCCTCGATGCTTCAGGCCTTGCCAACTCCACATGCATCTCCCCCGGGTCCTTTCGCCCGACTCTCCTCAGGTCCTGCCAATTTAACATTCATATCGCTCTTTGTCTTTTCTTGTTCCTTACTTATTTTTAACCTTTTCATGCATGATGCCTAGTTCATCCCTTGTGCATCTCTCTTTCAGACACCTTGTCAGACCTGTTTCCAAATACTCATCTGTTTCCCAGACTGGCAATTTTTTTCTCAGATCCATACACAGTCCATCATACGAGTCTTTTTCTTTTCTTGACGTCTTGCTCGACCCATTTTCAAGCTTATGCCCAATCAATCACACAAGTCGTTTGTCAGGCTTTTTCTCAAGCTCATGCAACATCAATTTCTCACCTGTTTCTCTTCAAGACATCTTGCCAGGCCTTTTCTCACGCCTGCGCAAAGTCAATTACTCATCTATTCTTCTCTTCTGGACATCTTGCCAGGCCTTTTCTCAAGTTCATGCAACGTTAATTACTTATTCATTCTTTTCTTCTGGACATCTTGCCAAACTTTTTCTCAAGCCTGCGCAAAGTCGATTACTCATCCGTTCTTTTCTTCTAGACATCTTGTCAGATCTTTTCTCAAGCCTGCGCAAAGTCAATTACTCATTCATTCTTTTCTTCTAGACATCTTGCCAGACCTTTTTTCAAGCCTGCGCAAAGTCGATTACTCATTCATTATTTTTTTCTGGACATCTTGCCAGACTTTTTCTCAAGCCTGCACAAAGTCAATTACTCATTCATTCTTACGCTCATGGTACCCTTCTCTTTTGCACGCTTTTTCTTTGGTAGATGACACACCTTCCCCCCACTCAAAATGTGATATCCCCATCACACGACTAGTTCTCACTCGGAGGTACGCAACCTTTGGCCCACCAACGAGTAGGCGGATGTCGGCCCATCAGCCCCAAAAATGAAGGGTGATCAGTCCTCCCCCTGCTGATAACTCACCTCATCCCCTTACTCCGTCCGACCTTTTGCTGCTTACGAGACGGGCGTCATTACTGAGGTACCTCCTCATATCTGGAAGGCAGGTCCAGTCCAAGCCTCCCAGGACCCCATCTTGCCGTAAGGGTTTCCTCGCGAATCGTTCCTCCCGAGTGGTGTTTTCTTGGATCCGGCCTCTTCCTTTCAAGAGAGTTGGGGCTCTCAGTTAGTCCACGAGTGCAGTTACGAAGACCTCGCAATTATTCCCGAAGCGGTTGTAATGCTTCGGCGGGGCGGTGTTACTCGCCCCGTGGTGATTGCGGCTTCCACCCGGTACCACGCTCAACTCCTCCCTTCTGGACAGTGCTGCTCAACTTAACGCGAGCCGCTGTGGTCCATTCCAAGCGGCCATGCCGCCCCTCAACGACATGGCGTGTGGTTGGGGAGAACAAAAGAGACTAGAAAAAAAGAATGACTCTCTCGCTCATTTGGTTCCCTCACCCTTTGACGTTTAGGCGTTCAACACGAGGCAGAATTTGAACTTCTCGACTCGAGCTCGTTGTCGGGGTCAATTCCGGACGTCCCGCACCGATCCAAGTGGTAGGTACCTTGATCCTTTAACCCTCATCCCCTTACAAGAGGAACAGGTCGCGCTGAAACTTTTTCCCTTACAGGGATAGATGTCTTGGGGTCGCGGTGCGAGCACCGGTATCCCCCTCCTGCTGAGACGAAAGACTAGAAAAAGAGAAATCCATTTCAATGTTATTTCCAAGTCTATTTCAAGTTGCCTAGGGTCTCCTGCCTATGCAATGCAATATTCAATCCTCAATCATTCAATCCAATGCTATTTCCAAGGCTGATTCTCATGGCTGGTCTGACAGCGTCTTATCAACAAGGTCACCCTCACGGCCGGTCTGGTGGTCATTCTCTCAATAGCCATTTCTCAAAACTAACCCTTCCGCCCACTCAATCCTCACTTTTCTCATTCCTCAACACCCAATTTTTGTGACCATCCCAACGGTCCCTGCCCTTCTCGGCTTTAAGGCTCCGTCTTTTTTATCTTTTCTTTCTCTTTCGTATTTTTCTTCCGCCCCCTTGGCAATTTTCAGTGGCCGACCCACTGGCCTTTTCCATTTCCTCCATTCAACTCATTGGCTATTTCAACGACCGACCCACCTGCCTTTTCCACCTCTCTCATTCATCCTTTGGCTATTTTCAATGACCGAACCACCGACCTTTCCCATTTCTCTCATCCCATTGGCTATTTCAATGTCCGACCCACCGGCCTTTCCCATCTTTCTCATCTCATTGGCTATTTCAATGATCGACCCACTGGCCTTTTCCATCTCCCTCATTTATCCTTTGGCTATTTCAATGACCGACCCACCGGCCTTTTCCATCTCTCTCATTCATCCCATTGGCTATTTCAATGACCGACTCACCGGCCTTTTCCATTTCTCTCATTCCAGCTGATTCTCATTCAACCTTTCTCAATCCAATATGCAGGGGACCCCAGTGCCTATTTCAAAAGGAATGACCCTTGTCAGGGGTCATTCCCGAACAACCTGGTTAGGGTCGTTCTTATCCATTCTCAAGTCGAACAGCCTGGTTAGGGCCATTCTTTTCCATTCTCAAGTCGAACAGCCTGGTTAGGGTCATTCCTTTCCATTCTCAAGTCGAACAGCCTGGTTAGGGTCATTCTTTTCCATTCTCAAGTCGAACAGCGTGGTTAGGGTCATTCATTTCCATTCTCAATGTTAGTGCCCGAGGGGGTGGGCCTCGAGGTTACGGATCTCATTTCTGTCTTGGAGGTTAGAAGATGGCCATCTCATTTTTTGCGTGTTGTTCTCTCTCTTCCATTTCTTATAGTAATGTACCATCCATTCCATTTCTTCCAGTAATGTACTATCCATTTCATTTCTCACAGTAATGTACCATCCATGCGTACATCCGACTTAGCGTCTAGCACTCGAGTCGGGGCTTGCGACCCCAAGCAGCACTAGCCCACCCGGCCGTTCATCCATAACAAAAGACAAAAGCGCCCCTTCCATTTTCACTCTTCCTGATCTCTCAGGTCTCGGCTATTCTCAGTCTCATTCACGACTCAGTTGGATTAGGCTCTTTGGGAAGGAGTGTTCTTCACGCCCCTTAACCCATAAGTTCCCTAACCTCTCTTGTACTCGACCAATCATTCAATATCATGGTTTGCTCGTCAATCCATACTCAAGGTTTTCCCCTGGTTCCTATTGCTGCCTTGCGCCTCGTCTTGCCCAGTTTCTTGTCCACCGCGTTCCTTGGCAGGCTTCCTAACCCCCAGGCCGTAGGTCTCGATCTCTCTTTTCATCCTTACAATTTTATGCAACTCTGCCTCGTTAAAAAAATCCAGTGGTGTGACTTCCACCCCTGCCCTTGCGAGTTCCCGAGTCTTGATAATCCATTCGTGCCTGATTACATTGGTCCACTGCTGAAACCAATGACTGGGCGTTGGCCCGAACTCGTCCTCCCATCTGAAAGCCCCATTGCCCGGTTGGTGCATCGGAGGCCGCCCCTCTTCCCTAGGCCTTGAGATCTCATCCCTCTCATCCTCGCTGCTGATTTCTATGACTTCTCGCACATCCTCCTCCTCGTCCCCCTCGTCTTCAGTCTGTATGGGGCTATACTCATCCGCAAGGTTCTTTGGATCGTAGGTAAAAGGGATCTTTGTCCCCGTCCCATACCCCTCGCAACTGCCGTGACCGCTTCGTCCTTCAAGCGGGCTCTCCCTTTTCTCCTCGTCTTCCTTACGCTCGTCGCGCATACCTTGTCCCCCCTCGCTTTCCCCATGCCAAGTCTCACGTCGTTCGCCCCTGTTGGCCCCTTCCTCGTTAGAGACCCGAGCCTTATCTCCCATTTCTGTGTTGTCTCTTTCTTTCACATTTGCCCTTCCCTTTTCGCCCTCACTCTCAGATGATATTTCTATACCTTCTCCCTTGCGGAGGGGTGAGGKTTTCCTACACAAACATTTCCTTCCACCCCTGCCTACCACTGACCCGCCCATGAGCCCAATGTACAATTTTTTCTTCGTTGTCCTCCTCCCTTGGCTTGGTCCAGCTTCTTCCCCTCCGGTAGGCCTGTTGATTGTCCCGCTGTCGTTCTCATTGTCGAATTCCATTTTTGTCTTTTCTCGTTTTTCTCCTAAGCCCTGTATAACAAAACAACACCCGCAATGTCCCTCATACACTTACGCCTCCCCCCCCTTAGGCCGGTAGACATTCCCAAAATGCACCCAGTATCCCTAGCATCACGCCCTTTCTATACATGCGAATGCGTCGTTTATGATGACCCCATATTTTTCCCGTAAAAAACTATGGTACAATGCCCCAAACATCCCTTCCCGTTGTCACACAAGCCTGATATTGCAAACCCCCAAGTCATGCTACCTTTCAACCTCAGTCAGTCCAAGCCAAAGCACCAGTCCCAAAAAAATGACATCCACGAACATGGTCAGAGACAAACCATAGTGTGGGCAAGGCTGTGGTTAGTCTTTAGCTTGTGGCTCCTCTGTTTCCTTATCTTCAGCCTCCTGAAGCCATTGTTCCACTGGGTCCCGACTTAGAAACCTGACCAGTCGTTGCCCCGGGAAGGACCCTTTCAATCCAGTTCCATCCAAATCTTCCAGTTCGAAGGCGTTTAGTCCCACCCGCTTGGCGACCTGGTAGGGGCCTTTGAACCTCCTTCCCAACTGTCCTGACCAAGTACTTTCTAGTGCCGAGTTCCTTAGCAATACCATCTCCCCCACCTGAAGTGGCTCCTTTCTGACATTCTTAACTTGGTCCCACCTTGCTTTGTCCCTCATTCTGTTGTCCAGCACCCGGCTGGCGATGTCTTCCACGACCTCCTCATTCTTAAGGATTTGTTGACTTCTTGCCTCGATTAACTCTTTAGTGGTCATTTGCGGATCATCATCTAACCTATTCTAGGTAGGTACCAAGGCTTCCACAGGAAAGTCGATCTCTCTTCCGTACCAAAGCTCTGCCGGGATACATCCTGTTGTCCTTTTAGGAGTCATATTCTCTGCAAAGACAGCCTGCTTAAGATACCTAGGCCAGTTCCCCCGATGGTCTGTTGCGAGCTTTGCAATCGTGTTCTTCAAGGTTCGGTGCCCCCTTTCCACAGGTGCATTGGCCTCAGGGTGATACGGCTCGATGAGTTTGATTGCTTCAGAAACAACAAAACTAACTCAAGGGTGTCGGAACGCAGAGTCTCTTAAGCATCCCCAATACTTCTTGGTTCACAAATTCCGTCCCATTGTCTGCTATAAACCTCCTGACAAATGGATGCCTTAAGTAGAAGTCTTCTATCCATTCCGCCACACTTCTATTCTGCCACACTTCTCCCTGTCTTTTTCTTGAGGGCGACTGCCTCCACGAACCCGCTCAGGTTGTCTCGCGCATCCAGGATATACCTGTACCCATCCGTTGATACAGGCATGACCGCAAGGTCGAGGTGGACCAGATGTCCTGGCCCTAGCACCCGCGTTGGTCTAAGCGGCTCGAAGACTCGTAGCGAGCTTCGTTCTTGGCAAATAAGGCAAGTCTGGCAGTAAATGGCGACAATGCCTGCCATGTCTGACCAATAATAGAGCGGCGTTATCTTTGCAAGTGTTCCTTTGGACGACCGATGACCTCGAGCTAACCCGTCGTGCATTGCTTGGATAACGTCTACTTGCCTAGATCTTCTGCACACAACCCTTCTGGGCATAGCACCTTCCTCCCTTCGGAACAAATGTCCGCCCCTTAGGACGTACCTTTCAGTTTCTTCTCTTGCCTTAATACTGATTTCCGTAGGTTGTTTGTTTCCTACCAACAACAAACCGATCTCCGGAAAGAGCCCTTCGTAGGATTGGACATAGAAAAACTCCTCTCCTTCCTTGCCCCCATCCTTTCCTTCCTGCCTTTAACTTACCACCCATTGCAACTCTTTCCTTTCCCAAGATTCCACTAAGCTCATCACTGCTTACCGGCCTCCTTCGACCGCCATTGCTATTAACTCCTCTTTCTGTCCTACTATCGCTCCCCATGAGTCATTTTCTTCTTTGTGTCCTCGAGTGGTGATTGGTCCTTCTGTCAGTTCTGCTACTACAGAAGGTGCCCCCTTCTCCAAAATCTGGATCAATAGTTCTCCCGATGTGCATCCCTTGCTCATCATTTTGTTATCCACCGCGAGAGTCCCTCCTTCGTATTTGAGGAAGGCGTCTATGGGCTCTGCATCCTCCATTCCTTCGGGAGTGATGCAAACCCGACTCAGCCTATCTGCCTTGTTGCGGATTCCAGCAATCCGTTCGATCTTGTAATCGAACTGCCAGATGAATCCTACCCCTCTCCCTACCAATGGATCTATAGGCCTGTAATTCTCCAGAGCCCCTGCGACATTCGTCGGATCGATCCTTAAGATGAACCGCCTCCCAAATAGGTAGGTCTGGAAGGTCTTAAGGCAATGCAGGATGGCTAGGACTTCTTTCTTGAATTGTGAGTACCGCCGTTTTGCGGAGTTCAGGGTTCTACTTTCGAACCTAATCGGCCTCTTTTTTCCTCCCTCATCCTTTTGAATCAACATCCCTCCAACGGCCAAAGGTCCTCCATCCGTCTCTAGGATGAAGGGTCGTCCCACCTCGTCGTTAAAACAGGGCGCGGACAGGACGACTGTCTCAGATGTCAATATGTCCTTGAGCCTTTGGACAACTCCTTCTCGCTCCTCCGTCCAATCCATGGTTCCTTCTTCCCTGATCATAGCCCGGATAGGCTCAGCAATCTTGGCAAAGTTCTTAATGAAGATCCTCCAAAAGCCGACTACGCCTAGGAATGCCCTTACCTCCGTTGTCGTACGCAATGGTGTCGCCCATTGTGATATCTTGTCGTTTTTTGCCGGATCCGGCTTCTTGCCGTAAGCACCACAACAAAATCCTGGTATAGCTACCTCCGGTACTGCTAGGATACTCTTCGGTCCACTAGTCGTAATGTTGTATACTAAGAACCGTCGGAGTAGATCCTTGACGTCCTGCTGGTGGTCCCACACAAAACGTCGGATCCCTGGCTGGACTTTCGTCTCGTCCTTCTCCTGCGCGCCTTTGATCGGATTGTCATCGATGTAAGGTTCACATTTTTTTGGGAACATGTCGCCGGCCACAGCGAGCATCCTGCGTTGTGCTTCGGCCACCGCATTTGTGAATCCCATATGTGTCACTTGCATCTGTAGCTGGCCTACGGGGGTGTGCATAACGGTGTATGGACTGTCCCGAACATCCAATGGGAGTTGGTCGTACCCTGAGTACAGATCTATCAGGGAGTAAATGCTCCGACCGGCGTGCGATTCTGCTAATAAGTCAGCCTGAGGTAGCGAGCCATCATCCCGAATGGTTACCGCATTCAACTTCTGCAGGTCATGAATCCACCTTAGTGTCTTGTTAGGCTTCCGAAAGACGAACCACCGATTTGCGTATGGCGATGCCGTAGGCTCCGCAACGAAGGAGTCCATCTTCGCTCGGAGGAGGTATGTTACTTTTCCTGCTATCCCAAATTCATAGGATGACCCCTTATCATTCCAGCACTCATGTTCTACCGTGTGGATTCTGACCGGAGGGATCAACTTCGCATCATGTCGTCCCTTCTGGTGATCACTAAAGGCAAATGCCAGGTGAAACTCCTCGCAGGTCCTTTTGATCAGGCGGGTTTCTTCTTCCGTTAAGAACCCGTCTATCCCTATCTTCATTGTGTCMGCTACCTCATCTGGTATCCGATGTCCCTCCGTCGCCCTTCTTTCTCGGATCACTCGAAGGACCTCTTCCTCCTTCTCCATAGCCTCTTCCTTTRAYGTCTCTAGCAGGAYCGAGACCGGTTTTGCTTTCTTCCCTACCGGCTTGTACTTTCGAACACTTCCTTCCGGGATCTTTCTCCTAAAAAATGAACAGTCGGAATTGCCCCCGCCGCCTCTACGACTCATGGTTGAATACTAACAAGTTTCCCAGGCAATATCCCTTTTGCACCTCTCTTTCGAACTTAGCCAAGGCTGCCGAATCCACTCCTACCTTGTGGTATCTGAGGGCCTTGATGAGTTGCAACAGATTGGGGATCTCGAGTGCGATTTTCGGCACGTCTATGCGTACTTCTTTCCGTTTGGGCAGGTTAGCACCAAGTTCGACCTCTGACTCCTTTTCCGCTACCATAACACCTAGGACTTCGTCCTCCTGCCTCTTCTTCTTCTGGGGCAGGCCCATCTTGATCCACTCCTTTTTGTTGAATGCTTCCTCAATTATGATTTCTACCCTTTCTCTCATACCCTCCATCCGTGCGAAAGCCCCTTTTCGCATGCTATCCTCGAACGACGGTGACCATGTTGCCAATTTCCCCTTCGGGGGATCTCCTCTCGTTCCAAGGAGTCGAAGGAGCTCTCCCTGGCCGGTCACAGGGTCCTCTATGTCTACCATGTACGAGCCATCGTGCAAGTGCATGCCTATCATCTCTACGTTCCCGCACCACGGTCTCCCGAGGATTATGTCGTGATCCATTTCCTCCATTACAGTCATCCGCTGAAACGACCAGATCGATTCCCTGMCCCCTGCCTTTACAGCACACTTCGTGACGTACCCAGCGAACGGGATTTCCCCGCCAGCCCCCCGGATGCTCCCTGTTACTTCCTTGTTTACCGTACACCCCGTGATCGTTGCGAAATTTCTTCTTATGAGAGTGATTTCTGCTCCCCCGTCTACTAATGCGTCGGTATGATGAGTCCCAATCTGGATTTTCAACTTTCCTACGGGCAATGCATGAAAGCTAAGCTTTGTCCCGGGTGGTGACCTCATGACCTCGCCGCCCTCTCGGTCGGTCAAACTCAAACGAATGACCGCAAAAGCTTTCTCGAGATCCTCCAAGTCCCCGCGACTCCTCTGCAGGTCAGCCACTTCTTGCGAAACTTCCTCCTCCCTCTCCCCTTCTGGTATTTCGGGGTTGTCGCCTATTTCTACTCGCCGCTGRGTCAACAGTTGTCTAAGCCCTTTGAGCAACCTAGGGCTAGCCTGTAGCATAGTCTGAAAAGACACCGACACTATGGTTCCTAGTAACTTGCTAATGGTGTCGTCGATTTCCGGCAAGGATAAGATCGGGATTTGGTACCTAAACTTCTTCTTGGCAGCGGTAACTTTGTCGGTAGGCTCCTCTTCCCTAGGTTTCCCATAGACCTTTTCCGGTTCCTCGGCCTCAGGCTCTGCCTGGGGTTCCGAACTTCCAGCAACCTCCTCCATCACGGTGTCGCGGTTAATCCTTCTCCCAGCCGTCCCTAGCGGAGTAGTCGCATTCACCCTATCACGTTCGTCGTTTTCCAAAATAAAATTGACTTGCGGCCCGTGCCCCTGGCGTTGATCCCAGATGATCTCGCCCACCGGTTCGGCTTCTACGACTGTTATTTCTAGCCCGTTGAGCATGATATTGGCTCGCCGCATCCCTCCTGGCGAGTTCCAGTTCACTCGTTCCCCTTGTGGTCCAAATATCTTCCCCTTTAATGACCTAGTACACCTTCTTTCGGAATATCATGGTTGAGCTTTGGGCACGCGCGCACATAATGTCCTATCGTGGTACAGTACTTGCATTGCTCGTTAGCGGGGTCTCTCCGTCCGAACCCACGATTGGCCACCCCTGGCGGAACTACTGCTTCCTGGGGCAGGAAGGGGGGTCGGGATACTTGCGCCTGCATAACTAGTAGCGCGCTCTCCATCCTTTCAATCTTATTGTCGACTCCGTGAACATCCAATATTCACATTTTTGATACAAGTATCGAATATGCACATGTCACAATACAAGTATATAGTCTCGAACATGTCACATGTTCAAATACAAGTACATAGTCTCGAACATCGAATCTTCAAATGTTTGATACAAGTATCGAATATGCGCATGTCACATCTTCAAATAGAAGTACATAGTACATAGTATCGATGTTCTCGAACATCGAATATTCACATGTTCGATACAAGTATCGAATATGCACATGTCACATGTTCAAATACAAGTACAATACAAGTACATAGTACATAGTCTCGATGTTCTCGAACATCAAATATTCACATGTTCGATACAAGTATCGAATATGCACATGTCACATGTTCAAATACAAGTACATAGTATATAGTCTCGAACATCGAACATCCCCATGTTCGATACAAGTATCGAATATGCACATGTCATATGCTCAAATACAAGTACATGGTCCCGAACATCTAATATTAATATGTTCGAATACAAGTATCGAGTATGCACATAGTCTCGAACATCGAATATTCACATGTTCGAATAGAAGTATCTAATATGCGCATGTTCGAACGTTCGAATACAAGTACATAGTCTCTCAACGCATGCGGTGAACTCCCTGGTCAACTGCATCTCGGAGACACGGACGGAGATCTTCGAAGGACTGGCCAAACCTTATTGAGGTTGTTTCGGACGTATCCTTCCGACTATACTCCTATGAATCATCCATGGTAATCCTGGTAATATGACTCTGGGAGGGACACTCACGATCAACTGGTTCTCAATATCGAGTCAGCAATTACGAGCTGGTAAATTTGAGCCACAAACGCCGTATAGTCAGTAGACCACCACCAATGCTTGCCTGCGTCTCAATGACAGACTTGGCTTGGCATGCAATCGACATCTGGCAGCACCCTGCCGGTGTTAACATGCCAATGGTAGACTTTTTTTGTGTTTTTTGGGGGAAAATCATCTGGCAGCACCCTGTCGGTGTTAACATGCCAATGGTAGACTTTTTTTGTGTTTTTTTTGGGGAATTCATCTGGCAGCACTTTGTGTAGTCAGTAGACCACCACCGATGCTTGCCTACATGCCAATGACAGACTTAGCTTGGCATGCAAGAGAATAATGCATAATCAGAGAGACGATCCAATTTGAAAGAGAAAGGGTGTGCTTTCTCTGTTTGTACTGATTGGTCTGTGGCAGCCACAAAACAGCCAACGCACCGGATCTCCCCCATGAGATGAGGCCAGAATGAATACTGATGATCAATTGCTCGCTGACCAGTTGGGCAAATTGTTGACTTGTAGCTAGAAAGGCTGGCCGGTTATGTAAGGTAGGATTGATCAGTAGTAGTGGTGGCTCAGGCTTTGTGTGCCGGGTGACGTGAACGACACCGAACTCATGCAGTAGCATATTGACTGAATTTTATTGTTACGGCAGTAAGATGCATTCACAACAGTCCTGGAGAGCGTGCAGTTGATGTGTTTTCCGACAAGCGGGTTATTGTGTTGAGCACCCCTTCATGCCCCCCTCTCCGCCCCCTGTCCTCCCTTCCGGCACACACACGAGCACGCACGCACACACACACCCTTCCCCCGCCGCCCATTATTTAAAGCGCCTTGTAGTTCCAATGTCCCAATGCTTCGTGGGCGAGCTGCTTCAGGCCTCAGTTACCTTATAAAGCCTTCAAGTTGCAGCCTTTCACAGAATGTGTCTATTTAATACCTTGCTAAGCTCATCATGGGTATAAGATATATTGCTGGACCATCTCTCTGAGGTCTCTCTTTGTTGCCCAGCACTAAGGGACCACATTGATTGTTGGTGCTTCTCCACTCAGAATGGTCTTCATTCTATTCCAGTTACCTGAGAATAGTTGTGTGTGGAGTGACAGTTCAAACATCCTTTCTAAGATTGACAATTTATATTGATATAACATGATCTCCAGATGTGCGCCACATGTAATTGGATCGCTGGATTTGCATTCTGTGTGCAGTCTACAAGATGAAAGTCGATGCGGATCATCATGTGCGAGGTGCGACAGATGGGAATATCAAGCTAGAATAATTTCCCTCATCAATTCTCCGACTCGTTGTGCTTAATGGCAACGAATGCACAAACGAATGGGTGTGTGAAGAGAGTGTGGCCAAGGCATTGTATAGCGACGAAGAGGAAGACGGGAGCCTGCATGAGAGTAAGGGTGGTGTGTGCAATGCGGAACTCGGTGGGTCTCCAGAGGCTGTCTGTGTCTTAAATAGTGTCAGGAGGAGGGAGGTGCATGAAAATGCTGGAGCCGCCAAGGAAGCAGTTTTATCTGGCAGCAGAAATGATTGTGGTCGAGACAACGACGAAATAGATTGTGCCGCTACTTCCGCTCTAGAGGATCAAGTTGATCACGGGAAGGATGCAGTGAAGGAGAAGCCGGGCGTAGAGCGGCAAACACTGATCCTTGAAATGATAATGAACAACCCAGGGACGAGGGGAAGAGGACTGCGTAGGAGGAACACTTGTTGTGATTCTGATTGTGTAACAGATTTTAACCTCCCGTGTAACGACACTATCCAATGCACAAAGCCAGGGATTGAAAAACTATTGGACAATGGACACCGATCATCAGGAGCTCGAGAACCAGGCCAGTGTGTTACCCCTATATCGTGGACCTCCTTGGATAAAGCTTCTCTTGGGCCTGTGAGGCGACGCCATGGTCTGAGCCGGGATGTGTTGCGCTCAACTAACTGGGGCTTGTGGGAAACCCTGACTCTCGTTCATGCAAAGCAGGAGGAGGCAAATGAGCGTGCCAACCAGCATGGAGGGCTGGTGCAGCCAGCACGGGAGAGATGGGCACTCATCGTGATGAAGTTGAAATCCTGGGGCATTCACAGAGATATGTCAAATTCCGCTCGTCGATGGGAGAATTTGTCCCGCTGCTTCAGAAAACTTTATCGCCATGAAGTGTACCGACTGAACTGTTCCTCGGAGAGACCTTCGTTCAGGAGGATGTCATTTAGCGAGAAGAAGGAGTTGAACATGCCCTTCCAAATGGAACCAAGGGTGTACAAGGCGATGAAGGAGTTTTTCACATCCGTCGACGAATGTGGTCTAAAGGCAGAAACAACTCTTGCCCTCTGTGCTGGCGAGGGCTCTCCTGGTGACACCACGGACGATTTTGTGGAAGGTGAAACGAAGGATTGTGGGCGTATCAAGGTAGAGGTAGCCCCTATGGACCTTATCCCTTCCGTTCCCGCAGTTGTGGAAGGTCAGGGATGTTGTAGTTCCAGTCCGAATTCTGGTGATGAGGGGGATGGGCCCAACAGTGGGACCCGTCCTGCAGTTGATGCGGGCAGCAATTGCCCATTGTCAATCGCAACCGCAATCAGCGATCTCACGAAAGCGGTGCTGGGCGGAGGAGAGGCATTCACAAGTCCCTATGCCATGGCGGCACAAAGGGAAACTGATCTCGTCGCTGATTCTCATGACGTGGTGCTTGAGCAAATGCAGGTTGTTCGTGAGGCTGACTCTTTGGTAGATGATAGGCACCAGATGCTGCTGTCTACGCTTCGTGGGATCAACACCACACTGGATTCCATTCTCTCGAATATGGCGAGGACGGATCCACAAGGCGCCTTGTGTAGTTAATGAGGTCATCCCTGTTACTGTATTTGCAAGAACCCTCTCCATCACATTTCTGTACATCCTACCCCTTAAGCGCGAGCGGCCCGCAGGGGGAGGTCGTATTCCGCTGCGCGCCGGAATCGGGCCGAAGTTTTCATTCGGGCTGGCGGATGAAGGCGATCGASGGAGGGGGAGCCCGCAGAGCGGCACGCGTACCGAATTGTTCACAGCGCGCCAAGAAACGAAGGAGCGCGCCCACGGGGCCGAGCGGCGGCGGGCGTTGATGAAAGGGTATATCTGGAAGCGCCCGCCGTCGGATAGGAAGGACGCCCCCTTTTTTTTTGGTTTAATTTGCAAACCGCGTCTTTAATTTTTTTTTGTTTTTGTAACTACGTTTTTTTTTTTTTTTTTTCTTTGCATTTTGTTTTTCAATTTCCAACTCCGAGTTCCCCTTTTTTTTTGTGGCGGTTTCTTTTCAGTTCTGGGCGGGAAGAAAATGACAAGTTGGGCGGGAAAAAAACGACAAGTCCAAAAGAGAATAGAAGCCGCGTGGCCACGCACCCACCCACCCACACACACACACACACACACTAATATATATATGTTAGTATTGACGCTTGCTGACATTGGTTGTGGTCGGGTTGGGGTTTGAACCCACACACAAATTTTAAATACCCAATTACCCAAAGAGATAACCACTGAGGTGAACTGGGTCCGTGTCTGCTCTTGGGGGCTGCTTTCTTTTGAAGTGTATCCGACGTCAGGCAGCTGGCACGTCAGGATGTGCATGTGTGTGCAAACCCTAATATTGGGTCTCCAATTTATTTCGAGGTTTAAATGATTTTATTTTTTTTTAATATTTTTTCTCAAAAGATCAGAAGCAAACCTACGGACCCTCCAATTTTCAAGGTCTTTGGAGCATTCTTCGGAGCGCGAAAAACCGTTGAAGTCGGAGTACTTTTCTCGTTGGCCCAGAAATGGCAGAGTGGCAAAACTGGAACATGCACCGAATCAGCGTGGCGATTGTTTTGAGGTCAAAATGATTTTTTACAATTGTTCTGATATTTTTCCTGGAACGATAACGAGCAAATCTACCGACCCTCAAATTTTCAGAGTTTTCTTAGAATTCTTTCAAGAGCGAAAAATCGGCAAAGTCGCCGCTGTCAAAATTGCGGGACTAGGCCTGTCGTTTCGGCCTCAAGTTGCCGCCCTCCCTATTACCATTCAAGGAAGGGGGGACCGTCGGATATCAAAAAAATGTCATTTTGTTCCCTGCCGCATTTTTCTTTTTCGTTTTCGGGTTTTATTTTCAAAGAGAAAAAAAAGAAGGGAAAATAATTTTAATTTTGTTTCTTTTCTTTCTTTTTTTTCCCGGTAGTCTATTTTACTTTCTTTTTTTTGGGTAATCCAATATATTTCAGTTTTTACTTTCTTTTTTTTGGGTAATCAAATGTATTTCAGTTTTTTGGTAAGGCACGCAAGTGGCAGTCAGGAGGTCGTGGGTTCAATCCCCATTGGACTCATGTACCTTCCTGGGCATGCTTGGTGCCCGCCACCTACAGATAGCCCGTTGGTCCCCCCAATTGGCATTAAAAAAACAGTCTCTGCTGATGTTAATAGGGGGAGGGGTAATCGGGGAGGCATAGCGACTGGCCACTCAGATTATGCTCGGTCCCTCTGCTACCAGCTTTTCCCTGGCCGGTGTCCCCCATTGGTTGTTCCCTGAAGGCAATCAAGGCCACCCGATGTCAGATTAGACAAAATATTGAATTTACCTGGGTTGGCTAGTCCGATGATAATACCTCAAGGCCATCGCCCTTTTAAAACTCTCTCGATATATATATATATATATATATATATATTTATATATATACAGCGTTACCGGTGTTCGGGACGGGCCGAACGCCCGAACGTACGGGACCCCTTCGGGAGGCGTTCGGCCGTTTAGGCTGAACGCGGACCAAAAAAAAAAAAAAAAAAAAAAACATAAACGTTTTCAAAAACTTTCGCAAAAAAACTATGTTATGTTGAAACATAAACTAAACAACATTTGCCGGGGCACTACATCCAAATTCTTTACCAAATTTGAATTAAAAATCCAATACAGAAAATAAACACTATGATAAAAATAAGAAAAAATAAAAAGAGAATTAAAATGAGTGAGTGTGCCAGCACCTTTTCGACACCACAATCTTTGCCGATTTTTAATTATTTTTTGGCATTGACAAATGCCCTGAAAATTTACGGATGTGTAGTTTGCATAATCAATAACTCATTTAAAAAATTTCAAAAAATAATAATTTGTTTTAGGTCCCGAAATAAAGTGAAAACCAAAAGTTAAAAGTAAAAAAAAAACAGAATAGTGAGTGGGCGAGCACGTTTTGACACCCCCATCTTTGACAATTTTTAATGTTTTTTCGGCTTAGCAGAATGGCGTCAAAATTTTTAGTCGTGTAGGTTACATGATAGAGAACGCACAGAAAAACATTCAGAAACAAAAACTTATTATTAGGCCCCGAAATATTTTTTGGCGGGGGCCAAACCTGGAGGTGATCGGCCCCCGAACGCCCGAACGTTCGGGGGCCAGCCCGGGGCCCCCTGAATGTTCGGTCAGGTCACCCTGTATATATATATATATTTTTTTTTTTCCAGTTTTTTTGCCTTCTCGTGTGTCAGGCTGTCGGGTTGTCCAAATTTCGGTGTTTCTTCGTTTTGCCGCCCACGGAGGCAGGTGGGCGGGAAAATGACAGAAAAACAATTTCCGACACCCCCCCCCCAAAAACACACACACACACACACACACACACACACACACACACACACACACACACACACACACACACACACAC